CGGAAGCCGGCGGCGGGGAGGCCGTGGATTTTGGGCGGCTCGCCGACCCTTGTCTGGATTTGTCTTTCAGGATCTGACGTTTCTGACCAAGCAGGAGATCCTCCTGTAAGTGCTGTCCCAACCCCCGTCCCCCGCCCTCCACCGCGGGATTGCGGGGGGGTGGCCTTTGGGGGTGCTGTCCTAGTGGGGGACGGACTGGCCACCTCTCCTTTGAGGATGGGGTCGGGTTTCACAGAAATCAAGATCAGCGGATCTGGAACCAGAGGCCCGGAGTGCAAGTTTCGCCTGTGCTTGGGCCTCCGCTTTGCATCACGCATACACCTCCGTGTATTCAGGAAAAGCTGGGCTGTTTAAGCCCCTCTGGCCTCCTCACTGCAGAGCTTCCTGCTATCTTCGGGAACAGCTGTGGCTCTATACGGACTTTGCCCTCTGGCAAAAACTAGAAGCCTTGAGGCGCCTGGCTCGCTCTTCCAACTTTACCTGTTTAATGCAGTAACCGTTAACGTTTACTGAGCCTTATTCTGCTCAGGAACTACTGTGTGATTCCCACATTACTTAAATCTTCAGGAGGAGATTACAGAACAAGGAAACAGCTTAGAGGGTTCTGGTAACTTGCTTATAAAGCACACTTAAGTGATTTGATGGCCAGGATGCTTGACCTAGGGAGGTTCCTAGTCTCCTCAATGAAATTCCACTGGGAAAGAGGTGGTAGGTGAGAGAAGGGGTTGAATTTCCTGGAGTTGAAATGACATCTTGTTTAAACTGTTACTGTAATTGTTAGGGTCCAGGAACTTGGTCCACAGGAAATCCTAACTAGCTAGTCTGGCTACCTACCCTCAGTAGGCCAATTAAGGGGAAAATATTCAAATGCAGAGAAACGAAATATATCCAGTGTGGCCACACAGGGAAAAGTATCAAAGAGGTCCAGTGACAGGCCCCCTCCCTCAAGTCAATTTTCATGCCCAGCTGATGTGAGGTTTATATTTAAACACAGGGCAGGAGCTATGTGTAACTAAGCAGTCTGGTCAAGATGTGGTGTCTCCATCATTGTCTCAGCTCCATTCTCTTATGAAAGGTGACCTGACAAGTTATTGGAACTGTGTGAAATCTCTTTCTGGTAGACATTTCCTCCTTGGCTGACACCAGACTTCATCCTTCTCACAATATGAGATTACTGGGGAATCTTGGGGACCACTGATTCTATAGTCTGATAGCCAAAGGGCAGGGTACAACTATCTCTAGAATATCCTTTTCCTGCCAGAACAGTGCCTGACAGTGTCTGCAGACACACATACTTCCTCTCCTCCATAAATACCCACCCTAAGAAGGGACTCCAAGCCTCTGCTACTTTGTAACTTACCTCTCTTTGGCTGAAGTTTGTCCAGTGACTGGAAGTCCTGGTTATGTGACTTAGTTATACACCTGGTTTATATGGCATTCAAAATGCAGACTGGGAATGTAGGAAACAGGGAGTCTGACTGACTGAAGGCACCAGTAAGTCCCCCTCTCTCTGCCAGAGCTCACAGGCGGTTTTGTGAGTTGCTTCCCCCAGAGCATCGGAGCGTGGAGGAGTCGCTGCACACCCGAGTGTCATTCGAGCAGATTCTCAACCTTCCAGAGCTCAAGGTTCAGTCCTCCATCCATTCTACCCTCTTCCTACTTTACCCTGTCTCTGCACATGTGACCACACCCTGGGTTTATTTTGATGATGATGTGTAATTGTTTGTGTGTGGGTATGTACGTATGTAAGTGCCAGTGCCTGTGGAGTACACAAGGTGTTGGACCCTCTGGTGCTGGAGTTACAGGTAGTTGTGAGCTGCCCATCATGGGTGCTAGGAACTGGGGTCCTCTATAAGAGCAGTACAGGCTCTTAGTCACTGAGTCATCTCTCTAGCCCACTCCCCTCTTTAAAAATAGCAGTTTGGGGGATTGAATGTTTAATGGCAGGCAGGCACTTTACTGACTGAGCTAACCCACCACTTCTTTTTTTCTGATATGGGGATTTTACTAGGTTTTGCTATGTAGCCTTGACTGGCCTTGAACTTGCTTCAATCCTTTCCCTACCTTCTGAGCACTGAGATTATAGGCATGCATTACCTTGCCCAGATTGCTATAGATAATAATCATAATATTACTACTATTATTTTGAGATAGGGTCTCACTGTGAAGTCCTAGCTAGCCTGGCTGGAACTCCCTGTGTAAACCAGGCTATCTTTGAACCCTTCAAGATCCACTTGCCTTTGCCTCCTTGGTACTGGAATTAAAATTATGAACCACAATGCCTGTCTGAAATTTCTATGCAAAGAGCCTGGCTCTGTACCAAAATAATTGTTCAATTAAGGATATTTAAAAATGACCAGCTTGGCCAGGCATTGATGGCACACGATGGCACACGGCCTTTAATCTCAGCAATCAGGAGGCAGAGGCATGAGGATCTCTTGAGTTCGAGGCCAGCCTGGTCTCCAAATCGAGTGCCAGAATAGGCTCCAAAGCTACACAGAGAAACCCTGTCTTGGAAAACAAAACAAAACAAAAATGACCAGCTTGGTCCAGCCAACTAGCTTACTTGCCTTATAAGCCTGGGGACCTATGTCTGACCTCTGGAACCTATGGTAGAAGAGACTATGGAAAGTTATCCATTGACTGCCATATGTGTATGGTGTGCTCACACATGTGCTCATGTGTGCATGTACACAATTATAATAATAATTGGCTCATCTTGTTGCTTTGCTTAGGACACCTTCCTTTTCCTGCTATGACTCCAGTTGTGATGTGCCTGAGATAGACTCCCAGGGAGCATCTCCAGCCCTTCCCTGGCTGGTTTAGTAGGTCCTTCCTGAACCCTCCATGTCCTGGCCTCAAAAGTTCTCCATACAGTGCCACTACCGTAATCAGATTCCTCAAGTTTCCAGAAGTCATGGTGACACACGCCTAGAATCCAGCACTTGGGAGGTAGAGGCAGGAGGATCAGGAGTTTGAGGCCAGCCTAGATTTATGAGACTCTTGCTCAAAAGTTGTTTGGCTGAGCATGTAACCCAGGTAGTGCCCTTCGACATTCACATAAGGCTCTCTTACCTAGGCCAATCCCTTCAAAGAGCGAATCTGCATGGTCTTCTCCACGTCCCCTACCAGAGATAGCCTGAGCTTCGAGGACTTCCTGGACCTCCTGAGTGTCTTCAGCGATACAGCAACCCCAGACATCAAGTCACACTATGCCTTCCGCATCTTTGGTAAGCACTTTGAGAAATGTGGGGCTCCTTCCTACATAGAAAATGGGGGCCAGGCGTGTGCCCGTGGAACAGCTCTTGAGCAGGTCCCTATTGCTCCCTGCTGCCTAGACTTTGATGATGATGGAACCCTGGACAGAGAAGACCTGAGTCAGCTGGTGAACTGCCTCACAGGAGAGGGCGAGGACACTAGGCTCAGTGCTTCTGAGATGAAGCAGCTCATCGACAATGTAAGCTGACTTTCCTAGCTGCACCTGGGCGGTTGGGTGGCAAGGATTGGGACTGAAGCCTAAAGCCCTCCTCTCTCCAGATCCTGGAAGAGTCGGACATTGACAGGGACGGAACCATCAACCTCTCCGAGTTCCAGCATGTTATTTCTCGTTCACCAGACTTTGCCAGGTGTGACAGGCACATCCCTTTGTACTGAGTGCCATCTACTCTGGGCTATTATTACGGGGATGCTTTAGGATGAACTTCAGAGGGGACCCACTAGGGACCTAGCCCATTCTAGTTTTATTTTTTTGAGATCATGTAGTTAAGACTGACCTGCCTCTGTTTCCCTATGCACATCACACCTAGCCTAGATGTTGAACTTTTCCGGTCTTCCTTCTTTTACCCCGAGTGCTGGAATGCCTAATTTATGTGGTGCTAAGGGTTGAACGCAGTTTCAAACATGTTAGGCAAGCAGTCTACTGAGCTACATTTCCAGCCCTTCAAACAAGGATCTGTGGTGGTGCAGATCTGTAATCCCAGCACATAGAAGGCAAAGACAAAAGAACTGCTGATATGCAAGGCCAGCTTGATCTACAGAGTGAATTCTAGGACAGCTAGAACTTGTCTCAAGGGGGACCACCCCCCCCCCAAAAAAAGAAAAGTCACAGGGGAGAGGTGGGTATGATTGGTAAGGTCTGCACCACCCTCTTCTATCAGAAAATACAACTCAGGCTGCAGTATAGATCAGTGGTAGATGGTCCATGTTTAACATGTGTCAGGTCCTGGGTATGATCCCCAGTACTAAACCCAACTCACTCCTTCCTCTTGCAGCTCCTTTAAGATTGTCCTGTGACGGCTTCTGAGCACCAACATCCTGTCCAAAACCTTCCCACTGCTGAGAGGTGGCCAAAGTCACGCCTGCGGTGTCAGGGCCAGCGCTGGCCCAGCCTGGAGAGGGCACTGCAGAGTCTGGCCTCCTGGCAGGGAAGGACCCTGCCCCTTCTCACTGCTGTTGTCATCACTGTTTTTAACTAATCAGTAATAAAGGTTTAGAAATGTTTGACCTTGTACAACATTAACAGGACTGGACTTATAGGAGCTGCTGATCATCCCCACTTTGGAGACACTCAAGTACATTTCCACATGTATGAGAACTTACACAATAACATGCCAAGGAAGTCAGTTTTACCACGTCACTATCTGAAAACTTTAAACACTAAAGAGTTTAAAGCAAAGTCCTACCCTGGCGTTGGTGGCGCACGCCTTTAATCACAGCACTTGGGAGGCAGAGACAGGCGGATCTCTGAGTTCGAGACCAGCCTGGTCTACAAGAGCTAGTACCAGGACAGCCTCCAATGCTACAGAGAAACCCTATCTGGAACACCGCCCCCCCCCCCAAAAAAAAATCCTTCCCTGTGCCCTGAACTGGTTGCAGAGGAAAGAGATTCACCCTGCTAAGAACCACTCTACTGGGTGATATCAGTCTTTAGAAAAAGACTTGGAACTCCCGAAAAGATGAAACTTGAAAGCAGAGCCAGGCTGGGAAGATGGTTCACTGGGTTAAGTGTCTGCTTCACAAGCATGAGGACCTCAGTCCAGTGCTGGGGAGGCAGAGACAGGAGGATCCCTGAGGCTCACTGGCTGGCCTGTCTATCCTATCCGTGAACTTCAAGCTAATGAGACCCTGTCTAGAGAGGGGAGTGCAGTTTCTAAGGATGACACCCAAGGACAGCCTCTGGTCTCCACATGTACATACACACGTATTCATATCACACACATAAGGCAAAGTCCCTCAAGAGTCAGGGCCACAGTCAACTATAATTGTCAGATTTATTTAAAAAAAGAAAGTAAAGTGCATCTTATTAAAAAAAATATAAAACCCATGTAAATTCAGGGTCCTTGTGATGGGCAGTGTCAGTATCCCTTAAGAGTGACAGGCAGGGGCAGGGTGATGTAGGAGCAGGAGAAGGTAGGGACAGAAGCCCAACTTGGAAGATAGGGCTGGAGGGGTGGGTGGGGACATGGTTCTCTGACCAGGAAAAGGCAGCAGACAACAGTCTTCTGTTGCAAACTCCCCTGGGGTCACTCCCTTGATCTCTTGAGCCCACAGCCTGATACAGGCCTGGTAAGTCCAGGAATTGGGCCCAGGCCCAGGTCTGGTGAGGAGGGCTGCAGAGCCAGCCTTGCCCTCTGTCCCTGAGGTGGTGGGGTGTCAGCGGCCACAGATACGTCCTGGGTTGGCTGGAGCTGGAGCAGGGCCCCGACTCTGCATTGAGAAAAGGGTAGCCCCCGGCAGCAGAGTAAGGCAGAAGGTAGACTAGGCCAGTGGGGGAGGGATTCCCAACTCAGTCTCACAAAGCCACTTTGGATAAGTCCCCTGGAGCCCAGGCAGGCTGAATTGGAGTGGCTGTGTCATGTTCTTCCTTGTCTCTGTCTCTCTTCCCTCTCGCTCTGGCTTCACATTTGCAGTTGTCTCTTAAACAAAGGGCTCAGTTTAAGAAGCAGAATTCTGCCACCCAACAAGGACTCCCTGGCCCCTGGAGGCAGCCCCATCTTCGGCCAGGCACTGGAACCAGCTGGCTGGGATGTTAGGACTGTGATACCAGCTGCCTCCCAGGCAGGGTACCAGGGTTGTGTTCTTCGAGAAGCAAAGGTCTAGCTGACCTCTGCTGAACATTCACAGCCCGAGGCCAGGGTAGCCACATCTAAAGTCAGCTCTCATACCACAGAGTCTCGGATCTCAGAGCCTAGTCGAACTCGGGGCCGGGGACACACAGGAGACACCTCCACAAAGCTGTCCTGGATACTCAGTGGCCTCTTCTCTGACTCAGTAAAGACTCGAGGCCCTGGGGAGCTATCCGACAGGGCCTGGTAGCCTCGGTGGTCAAGTGGGGTGCTAGGAGGGCAGACACCATTGAGTGGTCGAGTCTCAGGTGGGAGCACTACAGGGCGAGTCTTGGGGTGCACCGTGGCACATTCGCCCTGCTTTAGGAAAAGTTTCATGCCATCCCGATGTCGGTAGAGAAAGAACAAAACCAGAAGCACCACAGCAAGCCCAAACAGAGCACACATCACCAGGAATTCATTCCAGTATGACTTGTCTGCACTCCAGCTGGCCCTGCCACCAGCGGGCGCGCTCACTCGAGATGTGTTGATGATGACTGGGATTCCATCACGCTGGTCGTTTTGGTCCATCACCCCATCCTCCATCACCGTTGGGCAGTAGCTGGCCACTAGCTGCTGGAATCCTTCTTCTATTGACCAGCACTGGAATATCCCCAACCCGTGCTGGCTTCCCACTAAGAGCAGGTCACCAGTGGGTAACACACGGCAAGAGGCTGAGGCATTGACAGGGTCCCCGTTGTACAACCAGAGCCGAGTAGCCAGGTTCGAGAGGAGTGGGCAGGCCAGGGTATTCACTGTGTTTGGTTGGATCTGGATTTGTTTGCATGGCTTGCCTGTAGGCAGAATAGGCATGAGGTAGAAGGGGCCAGTGGCCAGAGCAGCCCCAGGCTTAGCACTACCCTCCTGGCTGTGTTCTGGTGCTACAATGGTGTGGTGGTTTGAGTGAAAATGGCCCCCATAGGTTCATAGGCAATGGCACTATTGGGACGTGTAGCCTTGTTGGAGGAAGTCTGTCACTGGCTTTGAGGTTTCAGAAGCCCAAGCCAGGTCCAGTGACACCCTCTTTTCCTGCTGCCCACTGATCCAAATCTCATCTACCTCTCCAGCACCATGACTGCCTACATGCCATGATAATAATGGGCTACATCTCTGAACTATAAGCCAATCCATTTAAATGTTTTTCCTTTGTAAGAGTTGCCATGATCACAGTGTTTCATCAAAGCAATAAAACCCTAAGACAGATGTTAACTTAGTGAGGACTAGAATAAAAATGTATACCTATAAGTAGCTGGAGTCCTCTCCCAAGCAAATATGGCCCACCCTTTCCAGGGCATCTTACCTGCTGGCACCATAATCCGGGGCCTGGCTGAGGAAACATTGCAGAGGTCCTTGGCATTGGCTCCCTCAATGTCTTGGATCCAAGGCCTGGGTACGAGAAAATCCTGGGTAGAACCTCATGGGTCAGTATCCCGTTCCCCCTCTAGACTTGGACCTTGGCAGGGGAGCTGGTATGCAAGAACCACCAGGTCCAAAGCAGCAGGTAACAGACGTCCCTGAGCAGAGTCTCCCCCACCACAAGGCTTGGCTGGGCATCTCCAGTATAATAATGTGTCTGTACATTTATGTGGTGGTTTGAGGACAACCTTGTGATCATCCTTAGGAATACCACCCACCTCCTTTAAGGGTGTCTCATTGGCCTGGAGTTTACCAACTAGGATAGACCGGGTGTCCAGTGAATCCCAGAGATCTACCTGTTTCTCTTGCTACCACTATGCCTGGCATTTTTATATGTATTCTGGGAATCAAACTCAGATTCTTATGCATTTGAGATAAGTACTTCACTGACTGAACTATCTTCTCAGCCCCCTGTCTACACATTACTTCACATAAAAGTCACAATCTCATTTCACTATAAAAGCATAATGTGCCTAGGACATGGGAGATAGACACACGAGGTACAGAAATTCAAGATCATCTTCAACTACACAGTGAACTGGAGGTCAGTCTAGGCTACATAAGACCCTGTCTCAAATATACCATCCATCGGGCAGCACTGGGAGGCAGAGGCAAGTGGATCTCTGTGGGTTTGAGGTTAGCCTGATCTACAAATTGAGTTCCAGGACAGGTAAGGCTATTTATTATATGGAGAAACTCTGTCTTCAAAACAAACAAACAAAAGAAACCTTTCCTTTTATTCTTTTTCTTTTTTTTTTTTTTTAGCTAGGATATGCAAGGGAGCCCAGGTTAATCTCCAACTCCCAACCTTTCTACTTTAGTGTCTCTAGTGTTGACATTATAGGTATGTACACCTGAAAAGAAAGATGATTTTTTTTAAATTTATTTTATCTCTGCATGTACTCATCTATTTCAGAAGATGGCACCAGATCTCATTACAGATGGTTGTGAGCCACCATACCGTTGCTGGGATTTGAACTCAGAACCTCTGGAAGAGCAGCCAGTCTTCTAAACTGCTGAGCCATCTCTCCAGTCTGAAAGATGATTTTTTTTTCATGCACTAAAAAATTAGAAAACTCAGCCAGGCAGTGTGCTACCCATTTCAGATCCCAGCACTTGAAGAAACAGAGACAGACAGATCTCTGTGAGCTTGAGGCCAGCCAGGGCTATAGTGAGACCCTGTCTCAAATGAAAAGAAAAGAAAAAAGAAAACCCTACCAGGCATAAAGGAAAACAAAACACTATACAGAAGTCCCCCACAATGTGCTACAAAGCAGCCAAGACAGATTTTTGGGTGCATCTTGCCAGGCTATCAGCTTCAAAAAAAGTTGGGTTGTTTTGGAGAGCTAGGGATAGGATGCTGGGAAGGGAAATTGAAACCGTCTTTTTTGAGACAGCATCTCTCTACACAGACCCAGCCTCAAAACTTACAGAGACCCATCTGCCTGCCTCTGCCTCCCAAGCACTGGAATTAAAGGCATGTGCCATAGCACCTGGCTGAAACAGGGTCTTGTGTAGCCTAGGCTAGCCTCAAACTTGTTACATAGTCAAGGTTGACTTTGAAATGCAGATTTTCCTGCCACTTTATGCCTAGTAATGGGGCTGATTGCAGACCATGCACCACCATCCCAAATACTGAAATTCCTGCAACAGTTTAAAAAGAGGCTCCAGATGTGCCACCCTATGTGAAACAAGAATACAACAGGGATTGTAACACTTCCATGCTCTAGGCATGCATTAATTTGTGACCCTTTTCCCGTACACAAAAGAATGCTACAAATCAGACAGCCTATGTTTATTAAACAATTAGACTGTTAGCTTCACACATTTGTAGAAAAATACGAGGACAGTATGTTAAAATCCAATCCAGTGGTGACTGTGGTAATTTTTTTTTTTTTTTCCTTTTTTTCTTTTTTGAGACAGGGTTTCTCTGTGTAGCCTTGGCTGTCCTGGAACCCACTCTGTAGACCAGGCTGGTCTCGAACTCTGAGTGTTGGGATTGGATTAAGGATGTGTGCCACCACAACCCAGTGCAGTAAGTGCTCTTAACTGCTGAGCCGTCTCCCCAACACCACCACCCGGTTTTGTTTTGTTTTCAAAACTCATTATGTTGCAGAGAATGCCCTTTAATTTCTAAACCTCCTGCCTCTACTCCTGAGTGCTAGGACCATAGATATACACCACCATGTTCTGGCCACCTATTTGGTGTAACACTGACTGTCCAGCCCATACTGATTTTGAGGGCAGTAGGGAACCAAGAATTAACCACAAGGAGATATGGATAGAAATGAGACCTGTAGGGTCCCAGAAAAGACTCAGATGCTCAGAGTTAATGAGCACTCAGGGACTTGGGAGTTCTCACCTGGAGGCCAGATCGGGTTGGTAGAGGCTGATGAGCCTGCAGCTGGAGCCACTCCAGGCACAGTAGGGGTCTCGAGCAAGGAGGCAGTCTCCACAGGTTGGGTACAGGCTGCAGTTGGCTACTGGCACTTGCACTACTCCAGAATGGGAGGAGGCATACAACAGTCCCTACACAGCCAAACGTGGAGAGTGAGAGGGAGGCACGTGAGCCCATCACTCAGTCACACTAGCTTCATATGCTCAACTACAGTCATCCCAGGGAACCTCTGACAAGTTCTGTCCCACACCCTTTTGACAGCCATGAGTCAGGGCTCCTTAACTTTCCATCTTGCTTGGGCAGCGGAGGAAGAGCTGACTTGGTGCTAGGCTCACTGTGTGGCCCACTCACCGCATGGCTGTCCAAGAGCAGGTTCTGCACAGGCTGTCCTTGAGGGAAGACCTGCAGTTCCTCAATGATGTGCACTCTGGAGCCCAGGGTCACTGCCTTGTGCAGGCGGCCATCACCTGAGAGCATGGACACAACTCAAGCCCTGGTGGAACCCATTGCCTAGGATCCACCAACCATGCCCAGATTCCCCTCCTTAACTCAATCTTGCTGGGCTGCAAGCACTCACCAGTGCCCAGAAAGAGGACATCGTAAGTACTGCGCAGGCCAGGCACTCGGTGCACAGCCACACGCTGGTATCGGGCTTCTGGCTGCAGCAGCAGCAAGCGGCTGCGGACCTGCCCATCCATCAAGAAGTGGTCCTTGAGGAAGTTTAGCACTCGGTCTGGAAGCTGCAGGGACGAGTTGATTTTCCGTTCCCGGGCACTGTTGGTGATACACTGAAGAAGGCAAAAGCACAAGCAACAGGAATCAGAGAGGAGGCATGCCTCCACAGGGGACAGGAGCAGCCCGCCCCACCTGCTGAGCTCCAGAAATGGCACATCTGCCTTTCCGCACAGTGCTGGTCCAAAGGCAAACCTGACATGTGAGGAAACCAAGGGCCTGGTTTCCTGCTGGCCCCTTGCCTACTGCTCCTTGCACACAGGCCTCAAAAAGTGTGACTGCACCTCTTGCCCTTCTAGTGTCTTACCCTGTGGTCCACAAGCTGACTCCTGTAACTACCTGGGTCCCATTTCTCCCTGCCCAAGGGTTTTTCTCTGTGCATGAGGTAACTGGCCCAGTGACCTGCAGTACACTACTACAGCCCCTTCAGTGTGAGTCTGAGATGGGCTCTACAACTTTGTGTGCAGTCCAGGAAGGTCCAGACTCAGCAGCCCAGGGTGGTCAAGGATAACTGACATGTCCTTCCTGGCCCTGTCCGTTCCCTCACGCTGCTTCTCAGCATCACCTCCCAACCAAACTGCTGGCACTCACATCCTGGTGTCAGGTCTTCCTTGTGGCCCACTAGGTTACAGGCAAATAAGGACGACTGCCTAAGGTCTGGTGATCCAGTCATGTGATAATTAAATAAAGAGGACTTGGCAGAGCCTAGGGTGGACAGAGTAAAGGGGCAGCAATAGTACTGTACAGTATTGCGGGAAGCTGGGTAAGGTGGCATCCCCCTTGTAATCGTAGTACTTGGTAGGTGGAGGCAGGAAGATCAGTTCAAGGTCAACTACTGATACCCACCGCTCCAGGCCGGGGTGTGGGCACCGAGTGGGTCTCAGTATACCACTGCTGTGTCTCTCTGTTCACTTTCTTGTACAGGCCATTAAAGGCCTTCTGCACATCATTCATGCTGAAGACACAGATGGCAGAGCCCTCTGTGGTTCCTCTGTGCCTGCCAAGGAAACAGCCAAATTAATTCTGAGTTGGGAGTTCAAGGCTGGGTCAGTGGGGTCTAGCCATTCTTTACCCTCCTATCCCCAGCTAAATCTTAGCATCTCACTCACCACTGGGAGGTGAAAACCCCATAGAAAAGGGTCTTGTGCCAATCCTGGGGATTGGGGCTCAGGGTGAAGACATCTTGTAGCACGTTAAAGGGAAAGCCATCATCAGGCCGGGAACACAGGAGCTGAGCCTTAAGGAAGGAGGTCCAGCGCTGCTGCAGGACCCGTTCTCCACCCTCATCGCCCTGGAGGAAAAGAGGGGCTGCTGGCTTAGTCATAAGCCAAGGGCCATAGCTGGAGGCACAGTGTTGCCTTGCCAGCCCTCCTCAGCAGGAGCTGAGACAGAAACAGGAATGAGGAATGAGAAAAAGCCAGATATGCAACTAAAATTGAGAAAACTTAAGAAGCAGTGTGTGTTTCCAGCACGAAACAAGGAGGACGCACAAACTAGGACCAAGGGGGAAACATCTAAACAGGGAAGGGACAGAAGATAGTTCAGTGCACAGTGTCATCCAGCATGCCAGGAGGGTGTTGAGTCTAGCAGTTTGCAGCCAGCCAGGTAGTACAACAGGACTTCACATAATAAACACATAAGCGAATAAATAAACAATAGGAAAAGGAATCTGTGGTTGATTATTGAGCAAACAAGGAGCCTAAAGCACCTCGAGATAGCACAACTCGGGTTTGTTACTAAGTTAATACAAATACATTAGTTTTAACAGATCGGCAAGAAAACTTTAATGTGATTCTTTCTTTGGGGGACCATCAGTTATCACACTTAGGGACCCTGAGAGCTTTACATGGCAGAATTTAACCTATTTAAGGAGAGCTCTGACGGCGGGTATGTTATTAGTGCCATTTAACAGATGAGTAGAATTTGAACCAGGAACCTGGATTTTAAATTTTCAAAAGAAAGATAAAGACGTCTTTTCCAAAGGGATGTAGCTTAGTTGGTAGAGTGTCTGCCTAGAATTTATACCTCCATGCTTGAGCCCAGCACCAAGTAAACCAGGTATAACACAAGCAAGACAATCAGAAGTTCAAGGTCATCCTGAGTTACACAATTAGTTTGAGGCCATCCTGGGATACATGAGACCTTATCTAAGGAGCTATTACTATTAAGAAAGTTTATAGGCGAGTGGTGGTGGCGCACGCCTTTAATCCCAGCACTCGGGAGGCAGAGGCAGGCGGATCTCTGTGAGTTCGAGGCCAGCCTGGTCTCCAGAGCAAGTGCCAGGATAGGCTCCAAAGCTACACAGAGAAACCCTGTCTCAAAAAAAACAGGGGAAAAAAAAAAAGCAAAATAAGAAAGTTTTAAAGATAGGATCTTGTTATGTGGTCCAGGAGGATCCCCCAGCACCCTCCTCCCAGCTCTCCAAGTGTCAGGATTTTGGGTGTGCACTGTCACTCCTACCTTCAATATATAATTGAGATTTTTCTCAATTATAAAAGAAGGGAGGCCAGTCAGGAGTGGTGGTGCTCTCCTTTAATCCCAGCACTTGGGAGACAGAGAGAGGTAGATTTATGTTCAAAGTCAGCCTGGCCTACATAGAGAGTTCCAGGACAGCCAGAACTACATAGTGAGACCTTACCTCAAAAAAAAAAAAAAACCATGAAAAGAGGAGGAAGAGGAGGAAGAAGAGAGACAGGTAGCTGGTTGAGCTGTTGCTCCCCAGAGGATGGTTCTGGAAGGTCACAGTGTGGGTTTGCCCTTAGGGTGGGTGACCCCACTCACCTTGCAGACTCGGGCAACTCGGGATACAATGGTGTTCTCGAAGAACTCAAACTCCTGGCCAGTCTCACTGAAGAAGAAGTAGATCTTATCATCATCGCCTATTGGGCTGCCCAGGCTTTCAGGAATGTAGGCTGAAGCCACAAAGGCAGGGTCTGCAGAGGCCAGTGGAGGGCACACAGTCAGTCTAGGAACCTCTGGGACAACGTCCCCGCCCGAGGGCTGACTGCTTAGGGGACCCAGGCAGAACTCCACCTTGTAGCCAGTTGAGGGAGCTCTCAGTCTTGGTGGGGCGGGAACTCTGGCTCCGGGAAATGGCTGGGTCGTTTCCCTGGAAGCTGCTGACTGTTCCAGTGTACAGCTCACCATCTGCCAAGAGAGTGTTCCCATGGGAATGGCTCCCTTGGCCCAGGCCCTGTGCCCTGCTTGGGGCCCACAGTGACCACAGCCCCATCCATCCTGCCTAGGCGGAAGCAGGAACTTGGAAGAGTTAAACAGGAGGGTGGCCCAGGGTCACTCAGTGGCCCCTGGGAACCAGCACAGCATGGAGACACCAGCTCAGCCCCGGGACATATACTGTCCAGAGCCCAGACAGGTCCCAGGTTCAGCCCTCCTGCCGAGTGCAGCTTCCGACTCCATGAAGCCCCAAAGCACCCAGCCTACCCCACCACTTACCCACCACCAGGGCCGTGGACTTGAAGTTGGGGTCAAAGGGACAACGGCCCTTGCCATCCTCCAGGAGAACATTGCCGGCCTCATCTCGTGCTAAAGTGAAGCTTGCTGTGTTCTGTGGGGGAGTAGATAAGTGGCTCAGGGCCAAGGCAGGAAACAAGGAAGTTCACAACAGGGAAGTGTGCAGGTGCCAAAGTGCCATGTGTCCTCCTTACCCCATGCTCTATGGGAAGGCATGTGTGCAGTAGGCACTAATGCCCAGTAGGGAGGGAAGAGACGAGGCTTGGAAAGTAGTCCTGGAGCCAGGGATAGCAACACGATGCAAACCCAGGAATTTCTGACTCCAAGACCTGTGTCCCAAAACACAGACATAATGCCATCCTCTGCCTGAGCGTGTTAGGGTAAGGAGGAGTACAGGGTGGGCATATGCTAAGGGGTGCTCAGATGACTCGAGAGCACCAAGCACAGCAAGGGAAAGAACCTGGAGGGCAGAGGAGTGCGGAAAGTCTGGACAAGGTGGCTGCATGCACTCCTCCCTGCCCCGGCAGGGAGACCCAGTAGGGGGCTGGGCAGCGGCCAGGATGATGGGCTCAGGGGTCTCAAGAGCCCACTGCTACCTAGAAGCCTGCCCTGAGGGTCCTCCTTTCACCAGGAATCTGGGCTAGAGAAGAACTCCCCTGACAGGGAGAAGGGCTGTGCCCAGGCAGCTGCAGCCAAGCCCCAGGGGAGAGGAGGGAACTTACAATGTAGGCACACAACGGGCTGAAGGCTGCTGTGCCACAGGTGAGCAGGTGGCTGCTGTTGAGTGGCAGAAGGATCTTGATGTAGTTTTGACAGTCTCGCTGTGGGGAAGGAGAGAATGTCAGGTCCATATATGCCACCAGGGGGCACTGCAGAGGCCTCCTCCCCAGACCCAAGGCCAGGCCTGGGGGCAGGGCCTTTGCTGGGGACCTGTGAGGTAAAAGAAAGGGAACAATAGAGAAACCAGGAGCTGTGGGCTGGCAGAGCTTAGGCAGGATCTGCACTGCATTAGATCCTGGGGCTCAGCTAGTTTTAGACTGGCAAATACTCCTCTGTCTGGTGAAGGGCACCCAAAAGGGGAGGATTCTACCCTTGGAGTGTCTTCTCCAACCCAGTGAGGAAACAGGAGACAAAACAGGAGGAACTGCTCAACCCTGAACTCTTGGCACAAACGCCACCTCCACAAGATGTCTAACAGGAATTTCCAAATCGGTGCCACCGACTCCCCCAAGACCTGGAGGAGTGAATAATTTCCATGTTTCCGGTGGGAAGCCCTTGGCCTTGGCGTCTCTCAAACCCCACACTTTCCTGGATGCTAAACATTCAATAACCAAAAGCCCAGATCTGACCATTTCTTTTTTTTTTTTTTTAAAGATTTATTTATTTATTATGTATACAACATTCCGCTTCCATGAATATCTGCACACCAAAAGAGGGCACCAGATCTCATAAGGGATGGTTGTGAGCCGCCATGTGGTTGCTGGGAATTGAACTCAGGACCTCTGGAAGAGCAGTCGGTGCTCTTAACCTCTGAGCCATCTCTCCAGCCCAGATCTTACCCGATTTAAGGATAGTACCCTGGATGAGGCACTGTCATCACCGAACCCTTAGCAAGTCTCCCTTGTGTCCAGTCCCAGAGAGAACACTCTTTCCTGTATACAGTGGGACCTATTTATTTTTATTAATGCAAATCCCACCATGTAGCCTAGGCTGGCCTGGAATTAATAATCTTCTGCCTTGCAATCACTAGAATTATAAGCAGACACAACCACACCCAGCTCAAAGCGATTCTTTTAAAACACAGGCAAGACAGACCTGGTGGCACAAGCCAGTCAACTCCAGCTAATCAGGAGGCTGAGACAGGACAATCAAAAGTTTCAAGACCAGCCTGGGTTTCAAGGCCAGTCTAGGCTACAGAGCTGCTACGGCCTGCCTGGCTCTTTCTTCCTTTTTTAAGATTTATTTTTATTTTATGTGTATAAGTGTTTCACCTGCATCTATGTGTGGACCACTTGTGTGCCTGGTGCTGTGGAGGCCAGAAGAGGGTATTGGATCGCCTGGAGCTGGAGTTATAGCAGGTTGTAAGCTGTCTTTGTGGATGCTGGGAAATAGGCTGGTCCCCTGGAGAGGACTGCAGTCTCTTAACTGCTGAGCCATCTTTCCAACCCTGCTTTTTCTTTTTTCATGACCACCTCATAAACAAACTGATTTTCCATTGGTTTTTCTTTCATTTTTTAGGGTTCTGAAATGGTGTCATGGAGTTCAGCCTTTCAATCTGCTATGTAGTCAAGGATGACCTTGAACTTCTAATCCTCCTGCCCAAGTTCTGAGATTACAGGCATGCTTTTACGTTTTCATAATGTCTCTAGTAGCTAACACTACAGAACAAGTTCTGAAGAGGGGCTGAGGCACAGCCCCGGAACACTCATCTAATGTGGGAGACACTGGGTTCCATCCCCACACTGCCAACAAGTACTTGCTAACTGTTTACAGAATGAAGGATGATTGAGTGGGGGCAGCCAGGACTTGACTTGAAGGCTGCCTTGGATGCCACTTGCTCCATTTGGAATCTGGGGCCTCTGGGAATGGTGACAAGTCCTGCAGGAGAATCCTGTACTGGGCTAGACCTCATCTAATGTCTTTGCTAAAACCAGACTAGAATTTACCAGACTGTCTCTCCACTGGAGACCCTTTACAGACATAGTCACCACCCCATCCAGTTCCCATTAGTGCTAGGCCAATTTGGCACTGTTATGTGTCAGGGGCCCTGGGCCCACTGGTTTATCCAGGGACACAGGCATATGATCTCCATTTTAAGGTGGGAACAGTAAGGCTCGTCTACATGGAGGTTGGGATTCAATCCTGGCTATCTCCAGGCTATGCCCTTTCCCATAACACTTGGCTGTATCGGCTCAGTGTTCTGCCCAGATCTCTCCCCAACTTCAGTCTTACCTTCAGGTCCTTGCCCTTGAAGCTGCACTGCTGTTTCCTGTCAGCATCTGCACGCCACAGCAGCTGGAGAAGAAGGGAAATAGGTGTGAGGGTGTGGAGTGTGTGCGCAGCCATGCTCCTCCCCTGTCCAAAGCTTTCTCTGACCAGCAGGCTGAGCTTCCTGACCACCCCCTCTCCAGACACCTGGCCACCCTCAGATACCTCTCACCTCTTGGTACTCCCCGCCTGGTAAGAAGCTGACATTGCTGTTGAGTGCAAAGAGGGCCTCTCGGGCCCCCACGTACAGTGTCTTGCCATCCTGGCTCAGCAGAAGGGCCGTGTAGTTAGAGATGTTCTCAGCTTCAAATTTTCGGATCAGCCTTTCTTCAGAGCCTGGGGAGAGGAAGTTGTGCATGGCCTGAGAACCACCTTGGCCATTTATCTCAAGAAAGATGGAATTTAGTCAAAGGCAGGTCTGCAGGACTGTCAGTCCAGTCCAAGGACACGGGACTGGACAAAAATGATTATGATACTTCATTCAGTGGAATATTAAACAGCTGGCAAAAAACAATATATTAGAAAATAAGCAAACAAAGCTGTATACGAAACATATAATCCCAGCCGGGCGTTGGTGGCGCATGCCTTTAATCCCAGCACTTGGGAGGCACAATATATTAGAAAATAAGCAAACAAAGCTGTATAAGAAACATATAATCCCAGCCAGGCGTTGGTGGCGCATGCCTTTAATCCCAGCACTTGGGAGGCAGAGGCAGGGGGATCTCTCTGAGTTCAAGGCCAGCCTGGTCTCCTGAGTGAGTGCCAGGATAGGCTCCAAAGCTACACAGAGAAACCCTGTCTCAAAAAACCAAAAAAAAAAAACCAAAAAAAAAAGAAAAGAAAAGAAAAGAAACACATAATCCCAGCACACGGGAGGATGAGGCAGAAGAATTAGAATTGAGAGAGAAGGGGTCAAACTATGAAGCAAAGTGAAATATAAAATCATGGGTTGTGTGTTTATAATATAAGCACAGAATACATGAAAGGACAGGCAGGTAAAGGTGGTAAAGAGGGTAAAGGTGATTGCCACCAAGGCTGACTACCTGAGTTCAATACCCAGAACCCACATGGTGGAAGGAGGATTTGAACTCCCATAAGCTGTCCTCTGATGCCCTCATGACTGCCATATCAGTGTGCAACCACACACAAAAACATATAACTGTAATAAAGAGAAGAAAGACTTGAACATTTAAAATCCTCCTTTGACAGCATCTGACCCAAAGAAAAGGAAATGCAAGGTTAGCCCTCAACTTCCCTGGCCCTGCAGGAATACAATTTAAGCCTTCTGTCTCAAGCCAGAGCCCCCAGCACCCATGGAGACTTACAGTCACTAGACAGAGCATGAATGTCCTTAGTCTTGAGCTCAGAAACTTGAATGTGCCAGAGACAGACAGTATGACTAGGGAGAAGGGGGAGTGAGACTCTACTGTCCCTCCCAAGAGCAAAGAGGGTCACAATATGCTGTACTAGGCTCATAGGGGCTCTGTGTGTGGCTCAGTACATGCTTGTCTAACGTGAAAGGGCCTGGGTTTGGTCCCTAACAGCACACATGCATGTATGTGCAGATAGAACAAAATTGAGGATTATTATCAGACATTAAAAAAAGATGTTAAAGTGCATTGTTATTTTGATTATGGATGACACTCAGCCTAAACCACTGTGCAGTATAACCTTAGCCCAAATGAGTTTGCTTGCTTGCTTGAATTTTTGAGGCAGCTTTGTTACATAGCCCAGACTAATCTCAAAATCACGATCTTCCTGCCTCAGTCTCTTGCATGGCATATTAAGTAGCAAAGGCAATCACACAGCAAAGGTGAGAAGCTGCAGAGCATGTGGGGAGGGGCAAGCATGATGGAAAGAAAGCCACATTTTTCTCAGCAGCAAGCCACAAGGTTAGAGATGGAAAAAATGGTGGTGTGAGCATTTCACGTCTGTCCAGATGAAAGAGGTAGGTGTGTGTGTGTGTGTGTGTGTGTGTGTGTGTGTGTGTGTGTGTTGGTGTAGGTCAAAGGACAATTTCTGGACATTCTCTTCCACTATGTGAGTCCTGGGGGTTGAATTCAGGTTGTCAGGCTTATCAACAACAGTGTCTTTACCCACTGAGCCATCTGGCCAGTCCTCATGCATTTATATACATACATACATACATACATACATACATACATACATACATA